TATATATTGATACTAGTATATTTTAATGTATATATAAGTATGTATATAATTCTGATTATTTCATATATACCGTGTTTCTCATATAATAAGTCTGGGTCTTTTTTTTTTTTTTTTGAGCCCCGAAAAAATGGCTAGGCCGTCTTTTCAGGGGGGTGACTTAATTCCCCCCCCACCTTGCATCTTCGGGCGGGCGGCGACGGCTTGGATGTTGACCTCGGCGTTGGTGGGGCACTTCATATCAGGGTCAATGCAGGCAGCACCATATCTGGGTGTGCAACAAAAGTACTTCCTAACAGCAAGCCCCCCCGCAATTCCCCCCCATTTTGCAAGTTTAATATAGGCCTTAATTTGGGGGGAGGGGCTTAATTTCATTTCATGCCTATAAAACATGCTGAGACTTCCTATTGGGGAGCTCCATATTGTTGGAGAAACAGGGTAGATATATATCCATAAGTGTATAAATATATATAAATATATGTATAAATATATCCAGCTTAATTTCAAAGACTGTAAGTACAAGTATGTTAAATAACCCTATTATCTATATTTCCCCTTTCCTTTGCTCACTCCCTTTTAACTGGAGTTCTCTTATGCTTGTTCCCGACTTCCTTTCTCTCCCGCTCCCTAAATACCAAATATATACATTTTGGCTCTGCCAAATAGGGGCACAAAACGCATTTGAAAGGAGGGGAGATTTCCCATCGGTGCTCTGTTCTAAGGTGGCTTCTGTACTCAAGGACCCGTGACATTCTCATGGATTTTATTTATTTTTATTGATTCCTGCTCTTCTCTCCCTGTTAACTGGTGTCCTTTTCTTCTCTGCGAAGTTCCAGGTGCTCTTCGGAAACCTCGTGGCCATCCTGTGGTTTGCCTATTTGGCGTCGGACAAGAAGAGATGAGGCAGAAGCCGCGGGCCTGGCCCGGCAAAAGGGCTGGCCATGGCTTTCCCCTGAGGTGGTGGAAGGAAGGAGCAGAGGAAGGTGGCTTGTGAGCAGCCTGGTGTGTGAGACTTCTTCTCTCTTGCAACTTGCCCCCTGGCTTTCAGCCTGGCATCTAGGGCCTGGATGAAGGGACTTCCCCTGTTGCTCCCCCGCTAATAGCCATGACTAACAAAAGGCCCCTGGGCTCTGCTTTTTAGATCTTTTCCAGGTGCGATTGCTGGAAAGATTTTTTTTTTCTGCCTTTTCTCACAGGGCACTTAAAGGGTAGTGGTTAATCGGTTAGGCAGGGATCAGAACGGGCCATAAATATGTGGGTGCGTGCTTTCTGAGCAATAAACGTAATGAGAAGAGTCTTTTGAATTAAAAAAAAAAAAACCCTACACAATGATGGTGTTACAGTTTTGTGTTTGCGTGCGTGTGTGTGTGTATCCTAAAAATACGAGTTCCAGGTGTAGCTATAAAAGAAGAGACAGACAGGGGAGGAAGCAATAGAAGTTAGGCCTCCATTGAATAACATGTCTGAAGTAAAAATGATAAAAGAGCTAATCACAGGTGGGAGGAGGGTAGATGGGCCTATGACGTGCGCAAGGGCTAAATTGACCATTGATGCATAAAGGCGAATCTCTCTTCGATGGTAGTTTTTACACACTGGTGATGTTAGCAGAGGCCAACGAAAGCTAAGTGGATAATATAGTTTAAGTTCCAGAGATCGTGATGTCTGTCTCTGTGTTCAGCTTCTTTCTTTGCTGGCATCCTGTCCTAAAATGCAGGGGAGGGGATGGAGAAATTCAGGGAAGCAAAACTCAGTCGTGGGATGGCGGGGGGAGGACAAGCTGATAAGAACCAGAGGTGCCAAACCAGAATTAGCCAGCTGACAAGGACCCCTGGCCTAAGGAACAGAATACGAAACTACATTGAACAATGCCAAGCAGCAAAACGGTTCCCGAAACATCAAGAGCGCATACTGTTGGACACTGATGGACTGGTCAGGGAGGGACAGGCCAGAGGGAAGGGAAAAATGTATGACCTTTGTGTGGAATAAATACTCAGTCCGAGCTTTCCTTTCGCTGCAACCACTTAACTTTAGTAAAAACAACCTATCACTTCAACCAAACTGTAACCTAACATGGGCCTAGCAACAGCATCTTCCAGACCCTCTACTGCCACCTTGTGGAGCAAGCAACACTCACAGGCACATTTCTGCGTTCAGCCCTCAAGTCTTCAGACTTCGCTACACAACCTCTAGCGCCCCCTTGTGTTGCAAGCTCACAACGCACCCTAGAAACAGCCATATTGTGTGCTTTACTAGCATCGCCCAAACTCTGCAGCGCCACCTAGGTGCTCAAGTATTAAATCCAGCAGCAATTATACTTTCTGCTACCTGCTTGCAGCGCACCCTTGTACAAAAAAAGGGAACTGCACGGAAAATCACTAAATTTTTCCAAAGCCGCCTTTTACCAATTTGAAACATGGCAACTGCTTCAGCCATGACAAATGTCCCTGTGGTACCAGAGGACTTGAACCCCCTACCCACCCTTGATGCAAATGTGGTGCCTGGTTCCCGAAACCCAATTTCAGATGTTCAAATCTCTACGGAAGTGGCGATACCTCCGAAAGCCTACAACCTCAGAAGAGTAAGAAGCTTACCGAACCCATGGAAGAACACTTGAGGAACGATTGGGAGAAGCAATATCACCACTACGCAGACTCATGGGCGGAGCTTGAGAAGATCTGTGATGCCCCAAAACACAAGCTTCCCCCCGAGAAACTCCGCACATTGCTAATTGATCTAGATGCCCTTGCACGGTGGAGACGCAGAGAAGACAACCTCAAGTCCATCCAGCCAAGACTGGGTGACCCCAAACTCCTAACACACACCCAATACTTCAAGGAGTTTCACAAGGAATGCAAAGACTGTGTCAAGGAAAGCAAGACAGCCCTCCAGGCAGCGCTCCACAACGTGCATCGGCAGGAAGTAGCGTCTAAGGCCTCCAAAGCAGCAAGTTACGCCGAACAGGCTACAGAAGCAGAAGCTGCAGTAGCAGACGCAGAGCTACGCACCACAGAGGAGGTAACACGGCAGAAGGTGGCAATAGCGGCCCAACAGGCCAAAACCCAGGCCAGGCAACAGGCAGAAATGGCCAAAGTGCAGGCCAAACTGGAGTTGGCTGAGCATCAAAGAAACGCCGCAACAAAGATGGCATGTGCTGCAGCATGGCAGAAGATGGCCGACAACACCTCCCTCAAATTCAACCTCGAAGAGTTGGGAGAAGAGATACACGGGTCAAGGCCTATGTGGACGAGCAGCACTCGCTACAAAACGAGCAGATGGAACCGCCCCAGTTGCCTAGCAGTCTCCCACAACCAGGGAAGCACAGGGATGAATCTCAACCACAGACTCTAGACGTCAGTTACACAACTGACGTTGTACGACCTAAAGTACAAGATTCACTTCCCACCAACAGCAAATCTTCCCCAACTGATGTTGTATGTACTAAGGTCCGAAATTCTCTTCCCAACACTAACATCCCTATTCCAACATCTCATGGCCTGCCAGGTGAGCAAATTAGCCCACCAGTGCTCACAACAACTTCTCAACAAGTTGACATGCAACCAATCACAATTGCCACACTCAATCCTCAGGCTAAAGAGTTCTCACCACAACCGCTAAACAACTCTGACGCACAGCGTGGAACCTACACCCGACCTCAAAAGGTACTACCTACATATGTGGGGGCGTATACCAACCTCCTCATAAAGTACTCTCTGGTGAACCACGTACCATCCACAACACGTGCCCTTGAGCCAGAACGCCACACCTACGATGATGTCATACAAAGAGATGACTTGCCCTCACAGAGAAGTAACAGAGAACCATCACTAAGGTATGGAAGGTTAGACTTAGCAGCCAGTGGTGTGTACAAATTCAACGGCAAGCCAAGCAGCGAATACCTACTATGGAAGACCATTTTCACAAGTACCATTCAACGTGAACGGCTGCTTTCTGGTGAAGAACTTAAATTTCTGTTGGCATGGTTAGGACCACGGTCTAGCTACATGGTAAAACACATTTACACAGGCTTACTTAATGACCCAGACACCGCTCTAAAACGAGCGTGGGATGCTTTGAACCAGAAATATGGTGAAGGCACATTGATGGAATACTCGCTCCTAGAACGACTTTACAGTTTCGCGTGTATCGCCATCCACAAAACCCAAAAACTAGAGGAGTTTTTCAACATCCTTACGGAGCTGCGAACAGCCAAAGAATGCTCTGACTTACCAGGACTGGCTTGCCTTGATCTCTTCATGACGCAAGAAGCAATCATCGCCAAACTCCCAAAAGAAATATTAGAACGATGGATTGTTTTGTCTGACGCCTTTCTGGTAGCAAACCGCAGACAAGACCCACCCTTTGCCTTTCTCCAAGAATTTGTCTTCCGGCAAACAGAGTCCTGCAACAGCTTCAGAAACCTTCGCCTCAGACGCAGAGTTTACCAACCAAACAGAGACCACTACCGCAACTCTGGACCTCTCCAGCCTCTACTGCACATCTCTATAGATCATCACCAAATGTCAACACATAACACCGAGATCGACTCCTCATCCACACACAGTTGGGGACAGAACTCATCAGATACAACCCAATTTAGATCTCCGAATACAAGGAGAATACAGTTTTGTCCTATGCACCACACTCGTCACTCGCTGAACAGCTGCACTGGGTTTGCAGCAAAATCACTGACCCAACGAAAAGAGTTCCTAAGGGAGTACCAATACTGGTACAAGTGTTGCGAATCCAAACATTCACCCAAATACTGCACAGCCAAAGTCCAATGTCACATCTGCAAAAGTGACCAGCACCCGATTGCACTGCATCCAGATGCCAAGCCACCACGGCAGATATCTCGCAACCCTCCTTCAAACAAGGAACCTTACTGCACCACAGAAGCACACAGGGCTCCTCGGCAGGCTGCCAAACCCCTACCTAAACCGGCGATGAGTGCCAACTGCACAGCACTGCGCGCCGACTCACCATGCCCTCCTTCGTGTCTTCCCATCTGTTTAGCCAAAGTGTACCCTGAAGGATGCCCTGAAGATGCCGTGAAAATGTACGTGTGGATAGACACTCAAAGCATGTGCACCCTGGCCAGATCCGCATTCTTCGACCTCTTTGAGGTGCAACAGGACGAACTTCACTTCACTGTATCAACGTGCCATGGACCAAGAAGCACGGCGGGGAGGAGAGCGACTGGACTCTGCATAGAGTCATTGGATGGAAATTCCCGGTTCCCACTGCTGGCCGTGTTTGAATGCGATGGGGTACCGAATGACCACAGTCAGATCACAACACCTGAGGTCATAAGTAGTATGCCTCACCTACAGCACCTGACTCATCACTTCCCCGCTCTAGATCCGGAGGCTGAGATCCTACACTTGCTGGAAAATAATGCCCCACGCGCTTTTCTCTTCTCTGAGTCAGTCGGCCCTGTAGATGGCCCAGTGGCCATCAAATCTCCACTAGGATGAGGGATCGTAGGAATTGTCAGTGTCAATCGGATGCCAGCCCCAACCCAGCCAAATGCCTTAGCACCATCCATTCCAACAGCCTTCCAACGCCCTTTAGCACCATCGAAAACAAGAATGCCGTTCCAGACTAAAAGGCTGCCGGTGATCAGTACACTTTCACTAGGACACCCTAAATGGCCGCCAGCAACCACCAGACATCCACTAAGACGCTCTACACCGCCATATGCCTCCGCAACACCCTTTCCAACAGCTTCCTGATGCCCTTTGACACCGTGGAAGCAAGAGTACCGTTCCAATCCTAAAAGGCCGCCAGAAGCGACCACCAGACTTTCACCTTTGGCATCAAGAGTACCTGCCTACCCTAAAAGGCCACCAGAAGTGACCACCAAACTTTCACCTTTGGCATCAAGAGTACCTGTACACCCTAAAAGGCCCCCAGAGGTGACCAGCAGACTTGCACCAAGAGGCTGAACTTGAAGATTGGACCTCAAGCTTTGCATGCTTTACTTTGTTTAATGCTTTATTAATGTTTACTGTTTCTCTTTGTTATATAGCTAACTGTTTATCTTAGTTATATAGTTATCCGCTATTCAGTTAATATTACTGTCTACTGCTTGTCTTAGTTTATAGTAAAAAAAAAAATTCTTCTTTTAATAGTGGAATTTACAATTCCAGGCGGGGAGTGTGCTGTCCAGCCAGTGTATGGGAATTGGATAGTTAGGTAGCAATTGTGAGCTGTCCCCTTAAGGGAATGCATCATGGTAAATGTAGTTAAGGTATCCTGGGAAATGTAGTCCATATTACGTGACCACATCTGTAATCTGGATTGGTCACTAAATTGACCCTTGAGGGGTTGGGGGAGTTTTCCTCACTCTTGGCTGAACTTATGGACTCGTGGTAACTGTTCTACTTCTATCGTTACAAGATGGGAAAAAAGGATAGGAGACAAACCATCTTTTTACCTACAAGACAGATATGCAAAGGATTGGTCATTAAAGAAGAACTTCATCACAAATGTGAGTTATGAGGATACCCGATGAACCAATAACTGTACTTCGTTATGGACGTCTTGTTGAGTTTATCTATCTGCATCTGTACAGAAGACAAAATCTACCACTGTACAGAATACAGAACATCCTCTTTTCCCCATCCTGCATCTTCGGTACTTGTCCCGGAGGTGGAAAGAGCCGGGGCACCAAGTAAGTCACCTAGAGACTATCTTTCCCGTCCCCCCCAGCCCCGTTTCTATCTTGCTGCTGAGGGCCGGACCCGATGCAAAACATGCATAGCCTCGGTGCCCCGAGTCCGGATTGCTGGACACTGTCTGGGGGCGTTGGTGCGGCCCTTGTGGCATCTGCTGTGAGGGGCACACATGAGGTTTTAGCTCCTTGGGGGTTACCAGCTTTCCCGGCTTCCTGTGAGGGATCGGAACACCCTATTTTCTGGGAGTCAGTGGGGCTGCAGACAAAGGCTCTCCTCTCAATCGGGGAAGGGAACTGGGCTGTGGGGTCCCCCTGTGGCCGAAGGAGAAGGTGGCATCTGGCTTTTCATGAAGGGAGAAAACATGAAACGTTTCGTC